TGTTTCAGTTGCTGCTGATCTGTTTCAGTTGCTGCTGATTTGTTTCAGTTGCTGCTGATCTGTTTCATGTTGCTGCTGATTTGTTTCAGTTGCTGCTGATCTGTTTCATGTTGCTGCTGATCTGTTTCATGTTGCTGTGTTCGTTCGTGCTCGTCTGCTCACAGACTCATGTTCGTGCTGCTGTTCAATATAATGTTTTTATGCTACTAGTGCTTAGTGTATTTTAGTTGATGTTTTTCTTTTACATTTTATTGTTGGATGAAACTGGGACCCTGTGTACATATTTCGTTCCATCTCATGTACCACATGAGATGCGAATAACAAAGTAACTCTGACTCTGATTCATGCAATCTGTAAAACTTTGCATTGCTGTAACTTTAACATTCGACAGTTATTTTGTCATCAATATTAAGAAATTCCTGTGGAATGTGACCTGTGTGTTACAGTGGTGCTTGAAAGTTTGTGAACTCTTTATAATTTTCTATATTTCTGCACAAATATAACCTAAAACATCATCAGATTTTCACACAAGTTCTAAAAGTAGATAAAGAGCACCCAATTAAACAAATGAGACAAAAATATTATGCTTGGTCATTTAATGGGCAGCATCATGGCGCAGTTTGTAGAGCTATTGCCTCTCAGCGAGAAGGTCGCCGGTTCAAATCCCAGTCGAAGACCTTTCTGGGTGGAGTTTGCAATTTCTCTCCGTGCTGTGTGGGTTTTCTCAGAGTACTCTGGTTTCCTCCCACAGACCAAAAACATGCATGTTCAAGTTGTTGTGTTTATTTGTCATATGCAGATTAACACAGGGTTAACAGTACAATGAAATGCTCAGGATGAGAAGAACAGATTTGACTCGCTAAAAACAAAGAACAAACAAGAAATATTAAAACATGCAATAAGGGTACAAATATAAAATACCAAAGAATGAAAAAGTAATTATAATATTTACAATGCCCTAAAGAGCAAATAGTAAACAACAACATGGTAAAATATTAGAATTAGAATTCAACTTAATTGTCATTGCACATGTCACAAGTACAAAGCAACGAAATGCAGTTTGCATCCATCCAGAAGTGCTTAGCAAAAACAATAGTGAATATATTACAATATACAGTTGTTTTGAATATGCTATAAGTATAAATATATACAGGCTATGAGTGTACAGACTATGAACAGGTTATAAATATGAAGGGGTATAAACAACCTATATAAAAGAAAAATATATATAAGTATGTGAGTACTTATGAACAGTAGGAAGTAGATTATGTGCACAGTATGTACAGTAGTGAGCTAACAGATGAAAGTGCAAGTGGTGGTGTTACAGTCCATGTGTTGTTGTTGTTGTGTGTATGAGAATATGGACTGTACTTATATAGCGCCTTTCTATCTGATCAAGACACTCAAAGCTCTTTACAACAATCTGTGCCTCATTTACCCATTCATACAGCACTCTACTAGATCTCTACAAAGCTAATTGAACAAATCATTCTAAAGAGACTAATCAGAGTTTTATCACATTCATACACATTCATGGGACACACATCAGAGGCAACGAGGGGTTCAGTGTCTTGCCCAGGGACACTTCGGCATTTGACTGCTGTTGGATTCGAACCCCCAACTCTCGCATTGGACGACGACTGCTCTAACCACTCAGCCACAACTGCCCAGAATACAGACCGTTGTTGTTGTTCTGATGTCAGGAGGCAGAGTTCAGGAGTGTGACAGCTGTGGGGAAGAAGGTATATATATATATATATGTGTGTGTGTGTGTGTGTATATATGTATATATGTGTGTATATATGTAT